AAAATGTGATTAATAAATCAAAGCGGTAGGAATTCTATAGTTTAATACTCTTTGTACCTTTTAAAACTTGCTTTTAATCATCAATATCTTTAATTATGTACTTTCTCTATTCCACAAATATTGTAACAAGGATCAAATTACGCATCTTAAATCACATTTTATAGGTTAAATATCTATAATTATTTAAGAGTAAAAATTGTAAAAGGCTGATATTGTGAAAGTATATTACGAGACGAATCTAACAAGACCCCATATGACTATATTTTACTTTACGTATAAATAATAATTTGTGGTCAAACAAGCATGATGAATAGTACAAAAGTTCAGTTGTTGCAATATTACTAGAACGGAGGAAGTATCATGTAGTGATTTTCAAAAGATGATGAGTTAAAAAATGAAAAAAATTGTTGATTATGGCAAGTGTAACGCTTCAAAATTTGGAGGGAGTAATAATTGCACGTATTTAGATTTGGTTAGCTGAGGTTTACGCATCATGTTAAAGTAGGATTGAAAAATCAGTTCAAAGTAAATTTTGTTTTGAATACAGTTAGATGATACGAGCATGTAAATTGGCAATTGGCGATTAACGTTAACGGCCAGCAACATCAGATTAGATAGATAGAGACCCTCTTATTGAAATGTACTTGTGTATAATACTGCGAAGTATATGTATATCGTGATTAGATCAATCTCTAAGCTTTGCCCTCCAATTGACAATAATTGACAAAGTATCCGACTAATCAGAACCACAAGGCTGAGAGAAGTAAGAACTACGAACTAACTCTAAGGGACGGTCGTGAACCCGTTACACCATGTCACATTGTTGCTGCCACTAGCCCACGGCACCAACTAACATTGATAAATAATGCTCTAACAATCTCTTGCACAAGAGTTAACTAGATAATTTCTAAGCCATACTCGATTTTTAAAATTAATGGTAATTGAAATAGAAGTTTCAAAAAAAATACAATAATAACTCAAAAATCAATCATAACAATAAATAATAAAATGATAAATTTCTAAGCAAATTAATTAATAATGTTGCAAAATCTAGAAGAAACAAAAAAAGTAAAGTAAAGTTTAGGAGGGAAAATTCCCTCCAAAAAAACTCTGATTTAGTATAGGTATATAGACTAGGTGACGATTCATTGTATGTTCATGTTTTAGATCTCTAATATTATTGAAATTTCCTCCAAAAAAAACTCTGTTTTAGTATAGTTATATAGATTGGGTAATGATTTATTGTATATATGACTATATGTTCATGTCTTATTTCTCTAATGCTATTGAATATTGATATGAGTAAGATTTTGTGGTGATTGAGTGAAATTTTTTATGTAGTTGAACAAGCATAGTCAAATTAAATTAAATAAATCATGATTACAAAATATCATTCAAGGATAGGGGAAGTATTTTCTGTAAAACTATTATTTTATCATTATGTATAAAATTAAACCATTTGCAAGCAAACCAATTGTTTCAGGTGAAAGCAATGGGTCCTTTGTCTGGACCTTTCTTGTGGGCTGAAGACTGGACTCGACCCAAGTGATGACTGGGACGAGGGTTTCCTGCATAGCAAACACATGTAAACTGGCCTCGAGGGTTATGCCGAGGAAGGCCTCTGATGCCGAAGTTAGTATAGTGTTTCTAGAGAGAGAAAATTATGCAAGAGAATTAATTGCTTGAGGCTTGAATTGAATGAATGTAAGGAGAGGGAAGTGAAGACTTTTATACCTTACTCAATAGATCAATGGGCCTTAAAGTCAAATGGGTTTGCCATGTTGACTGGGCCTTTGACTGACTTGACATGCTTTGAGGGGAGTTGAACCTCCTTTGGGCTTTGTAATTGAATCATTTGTGGACTTGGCCCAATTGGAATAAATTGGACCCAAACAACTTGCCCCCCAAACTCGATTCGAAAGTTTGAGGAGTTGGGTTTTGACTTGCAAAATGGAGGGAAGCAAATGATTAATTAACATTTGAAATTTGTGGTTATTGAGGCAATAACGGCTGTTGTAGTTATTAGGGAATATTTAGGGTTTAGTGGGCGGTTAATTAGAGGAAGATGAATGGATGAAGCAATGAAGTGGAGTTAGTGGGATTTTTCATGGCACGACCTTCGAGCATTCTCGAATTTGCAAGTTAAAGACCACATGTCCCTTTCTCTCTCTGTACTTCAATTTTCGCTAATCCTTTTATGTTTTCGCTAATTTCCCAGTTAAACTCTTTCCCCTTTTTGCTCGAATCTTGCAATTCGATGCCAATAATTGAAATTCGTTGCTCCGAACGTATGGATCGGCGAATTCCGTATTCGAACAAGGTAATTTTCTTTGAAATTCGTTCATTTTTTCTTGCTTTTCAAGTACCCCCACTTTTTCCCTCTTTCGCGCAACCACCTTTGAAAATGACCGACGACCGTGAAAAGAAAAAGGTAGAGGCTGAGCCGAGTGTTAAGGAAGAAGAAGAGGTTCTGCAGTTGACTTTGCGGCGGAACCGTACCGTCCCTTGGCGATGATGCCACTCTTCAGCGACCAAAACCCTAGGGCTAGGACAGGTGTTGTCGCCGCTCCCAGCGGCTCTGCAATTAGGGCTCTCCCATTGACCACCTTACCGCCCAGGGCCTCAGGAGAAGCCCGTACTTCTCGCCGAAGTGCGGCTTCGGAATCAAGGCCACTGCCTCCTGAGGAAAGGGAATGGCTGTTTGAGTGTGAAAACGTCGGCATTATGTCATCTCCGCCCTATAAATGGTGGATTGAAAACGACGCCGAGTTCTACTTTGCCGAGCAAATTGATATTTGCTACAGAACTATGGATGCAGCAACGACAGGAGGAAACTCAGCGGATGATGCACTAGTAGTAAAAGACACTTTTAACAACCATCAAACAACGACGACACTAAATTAATTATGGTTAAAAGTGTTAAAATAAAAAATTGAATAAAAGGCGGGCTTGCTTCAAAATTTAAACAAAAATGTACCGATTTCTTTTTTTTTTTAAAAAAAAAAAACTTCATTATCGTTAATGGTAAATGCATTTTATTAAAATTTACCTAACCCTCTTCTAAAATTAGATACTCCATAAATAAATAAAAAATAAAAAAAAAACCCTTCTCAAAAAGCTTGCCCTACTTCTTAAACCTCCGCCTGACTGCCATCGCAGCACCGTACCACTGCTGCTACCTCCATTGTCGTCAGCCCAAGTGAAGCCCTACTGTAGACACCAGATTGTGTCTCCCCAAAAACCAAACCCAGTGATGAGTACCTTTCACGTCTTTGATTATCGAGTTAGGTGAAGAGTCTCGTGAATTTCCTAAGTCTTGACCATTTCTAACCTTTCTTTAAATGTTGTTAGCCAAAATTATTTTATTTCGTGCCTTTAAACCCAAAATAATTCATTTCGTGTCCCTTAAAATCATTCTTTTCGTGTCTTCTTTTTAAAAACTCCAAACCAATTTATTTTGGTCCATAGTCTGGGTCTAATAATTGTATAGTTGGATGGGGCTTGAAAAGAGCTTTCCATATAAGCCCAAATCCGAGTTATAATGAGGAAATTATGGCCAAAATACTAAACTGAGCCCAAACCGAGCCTTACCTATGGACCCAATGATCATGTGGAGGGTCCATTAACTTTAAACATTATTCCAAAACCCTTAGGATTTATTATTAGCTTCTAGAGTCCTCTAGAAGGTTCTAATTTATCCTCTTTTTGAAAGGATAAAGACTAAGAATTTTATGTCGGATAAAACATGTATTTTTAATAGATTTAATTTTGATAAAATAAGGATAATTACAGATATTCGACTAACCCAATTTGATCAAAAGTCGAATTCCGTACAGATCTTATCTTCTGAAATGTATCGCACAGTGATGAAACCGTACCGTCGTTACGCGATGAAAGGCGTTTTACTCTGAGTCGGATTCTGACTCTTTTTCTGATCTTTTCCCTCGTTTTTTCCTATAAATAGGGTCGTTTTCCTCCGTTTTCATTCACCAAAAATCATCACCTAATCTCCCGTTATAAGCTATAAGCTTCTTTCTCTCCCTCTCTCTCTCTTTTTCTTAGCCTTAGCCTAAACACATCACACACCATACGACCTTTGCTAGATTTAAATACTCCTAGCCGATCTCGTAGTTGCCTTTGACCTCGACGTGAAAGGTTGATATTTCTGAGGGTTTGGTCCCAAATCTATATTTCAATTATTCTTATTTAATTTATTTGATTTATATCTTTTTTGAAGTTACTAACACGTGTATTGTTTTGATAGAGAGAGATACGAGGCATCAAAGTGAGTAGATCTGTTATCTTTATTCCTTGCTTTTGATATAGAAATCATGCTTATAATATTATTTTGATTTCTAGTATCATGTTAGGATGTTGATTTTGATTTCTAGTATCATGTTAGGGTGTTATTTTAATATTTCTAATATCATGTTTCTGGTATCATGTTTAGGCTAAAGATTTGATTTTTATTGTTTAGTGATATGCTAGGGTTTGTTATAATCCATTTAGTATCATGCCTAGGATCTTGCTAATGATTTTTTTTTATTATGATGATGATGATTTGTTGTGTCAATAATCATGTGTTGCTTGATTATTTATTCTTCATTGTTATTGCTTGATCACGCCCTTTCTTGCAGGTTTAAAGAGAATTTGTACTTGAATCACGTCTAATAAGATAATTAATAATTTGTTTTAGGCTAATATGATTTTAATTCAAGTGATCGTCAATAATAGATTTATTTGTGCATTAATAATCAACCAACATAGATTAAAAGGGTTTAGGGCTAACTTGTTGTATGTATGTTAGTCGGAAAGCGCACATGAATATCATAGAGTAAAATAGAGGTTGATTTAGGACGGGTTCAATCTCTTTTAGGTTGGTTTCGTACCATCATCCCCCAATATCCAGTCATGGTTCCGGACCTCTATGGAGTTAGCGATCTCCGTGATCGTGAATGTGGTGTAACCTACGAGCCCGTGAATGGTTTACAAGTTCCTAAAACTTGTTGGCGACTTTTTTGCTCTAACTTCTTTCCCTTTGAACGCCACCTTGCTTAAATGCATAATCACAGTGAGACTCAAAGTTGATGTTTAAAACATTCCCTACACCTACTACTACCACAAAAATCGTCGCATAAGCTCTATTTCTTCTCTTTCATTCTCCCCTGTTTCATTCACTCGCTTTTACACCGACCAACTGCCAAAAACCACCGTCGTCCATACCCAGCCGCCTTCTGCCATAGTCCTTCACGTGACTATCCACAGCCGCACGACAACCTTATAACTGTATGTTGCTTTCAGTTTTTGCTTTGTTTCCAATCCATTAAGGACTACTTTTTATTTATTTATGAATTTCAATTAGAGTTCCATAGATTGATGATGATGAGTTAAATATTATATCCAATTTAAATTTGGTGATCGTTAATTAACTTATTTTCTACATCAATGTGTTAAATGTTTTTGGCGATATGAAATTGGTTTAATAGTTGACAAAATTTAATATTTTTTGTGAAAATCGTCAATTGGAATGTTCATTTGTCAACAATTTATAAATTGAAATTGGTTTAATAGTTGACCAAATTTATAACTGTTGTTTGATAATTAGAGTAGTTGTCAAATACTGGAGCACATTATTTTTTAGATTCTAGTGAGTCTTCAATAAATTTTGGGTCATAATTTTAACTAGTACTTGATACTTGTAATACTAACTCATCTTTTGTCATCGTGTGAGCCTTGTTTAGAGAGTTAACTAACATTAAAGTTCGAGGACGAACTTTCATTTTAGGGGGAGTAGATGTAATACCCCAAATTTTTTAGTATATTTGGTCGACGATTTTTCTATTACGAACTTTTAAATTTATAATTATTTTTAAATTTATATGTTATAGTAATAAATTTTATAATTATTATTTTCTATTTTCGGATTTATTAAAAAAAAAAACTGATTTTGGATAATTTATTTTGAAAAAAAAAAATAATAATAAAATTTAAGCTGATCTTTTCGATAGGAACTTGCAACAGACTCAATTTGAATTGAGTCTTATCTGATCTTGAATAATCTTCTAGAATAATTGAACCTAAGAATTTTAATTTATATATACCTCTTGATAATACCGTACCTTCCTGAACTCACAAAGAATCTACCCCAAACCATTGTTTTCACCATCATCTTAATTTCATAAACTCAGCTCTATTTTGGTAAGCAATTGATAGTCCCTTCAATAGTGAGCTTAAAGTACTTTCTTGATAAAGGATTAGAGCAGTGTCGGTTGATTTAACTTGTTCAAACAATTGGACGAGATTGTCGTACCTTCGTAATCAACCGAATTTGCTCTTAGCTTGTTCCTCAAAATTTTCCTCCGTTGCTAGATATTTTACAATGAAAAATGGATTTTTCTTCCTTATCTTATACAATTATTGCGTTATTTTGCACTTACAATACAATTGTTTTCGAAAAAAAAGAAAACAAAAGAAAAGAAAAAGATTTGATGGTATAGGTTTTGTCAGTAAGTAATGATTGAATAGTTTTGGGTGGAATAGCCTTAAATTATTTTACTCGTATAAAACTCATGATCTTGGTTTAAGGATCTTGTTTTTATAAAACCAAACTTTAGTATGCAACTATTATATTTTGATTATATGGGTTTTACAGATTGCTAACTTAATAGCGAGTAGCGTACGATATTACTAACTTAGACCCCGTTTATCTATTTATTTATAGACGGAGGCTACTAGGTGAATGTTTTGGAGGTTACTTACCTTGAGATTTACGCACGATCAAGGTAATTTTCAATATCCATCATCTTTAGAATCCCGTTAGGAAATTGTTTTGAAATATTGTGTGCCAACTATATGCTTATGTAATTATATGTGATGAGTTTGTTATCGTATGATATACTGGAATCATATTTATACTAGTTTTCTATATTTTGTGCACTAGTATAAGTATTTTCGAAAATTTTATTAATTGCTATCGTATGAGTTTTTTTAAAATAATTAAAATCTTGGGAATTAGATGATTGATTATATGTAATTGGTGGTCTCCAAGGCCTATTGGGAAATGAGTGGTAATTAGTATGTCATGTAGAATGACTATATTCTAATAATACTGAAATTGAAATATTGTTACTTGGGATTAAATTGATTTGTGCAATACTTGTGTGCAATGTGATCGGACAATTTAATCTATTTAATGTACATTAAAATTAAGAAGGGAAATGAAACTCGAAAGGGTGAAGAACAAGTTGCCCACTAGTAGTTATGGTTGCTACTAGTTGGTTTAAATTAACGTGTATTGATGTTTAGTCTTCCTCCTAACCAATGAGTATTAGTGAGGGGTGTGCACACTAGGGACATTCTGTTTTAATTTATGGCCATTTGGGGTTACGCGCAACCCTCTGTAAAGTAGGTGGTGACAGGGACTGGTCCCGGCTTACTGGCATTCCTTTTCTTAACTAAAGTAATAAATTGTTATGTGACAATTTGATTTTGGCTGAGTATTATAATGTCGATGAAACTGTGTTGTTTAAAATATTTTTCGAACTGAAATTATTTATTTTACGGGATGGAGTTGGAATTACTCAGTTTATCTGATTTTGAGAGTTTTCTCTCTTTTCTTGTTTCTGATTTATTTTGCAGGTTGGTAAGAGGGTACTCAGTTACGTGTGAGGAGACGTTAGAATAATCACGTAGCTAAGACAATTTAGTTTAATTCCGAACTTATTTATTTTCCTTTTAATTAATGTTTTTAAAATAATTTGCAGTTTTGATGTAATGATATTTTATTTACCACCCCTTAGACCACTCAGTTTATTAAATTGTATTTTGTTTTGCTTTGCATTTATTTTCTACGGAAAATAAGTGTAGCAGTAACACTCCTAGGGTTTGATGGTTGGGTTTGAAAGTTTAAAAGGTTACTCTTATTGTTAAAAAAAGACTCGAATTTAGGGGGTGTTGCAATACTGGACAATTGTCAAGAGTTTTGTTTTTTTTTTTTTTTGTTTTTTTTTTTTTTTTTTTTTTTTTTTTGGTGTGTGTGTGTGTTGTTGTTGGATGTGTATATTGCAAATACGATGTTTAATTTGACAATGAATCAATTGCTTTTTTTTTTACAGAGTTGCTTGAAGATCAAGTCTATATTTGAGGGATTAAAGCTAAAAAAATTAAAAGCAAAGGTATTAGAAGATATTTTTTGTGCTTTAGTTTGTTTATCGGTGTCGAGAATATTACAAAAAATTCATACTCTTTAATTTATTTCAATCATTCATGTTTGTTTTACATACTTGTGTTCATGTCAACTTTATTAGATGAATTTTTAGTGATGGGTGGCCAAAATATATGTATATTTGGTAAATAATAATATGAAAGCATGATTAAGATGATACAAGAATAGGAAATTCAATTTACTTAGTATAATTTTCTATTTGAATATTTGTAAACAAGGATTGAAAAACAATATCAATATTGTTTAGAAGTTTTGTTCTTAATAAGATACCCTTTCCTTTATATGAAGTAGAGAAGGATTGGCTCTACAAACAATACAAATATTAAGGAACAATACATAAGACTATCTTCTACTTTTTTCAGGGAAGAAAGAGGAGTGTGATACGGTACAGGAAAAAGGAAAAGCCATGCACCTACAAAAGTATGGAGTTGGAGTCTTGGAGCAGTCTTTGAAGCAAAAGAAGATCTTGGTGGACTTATCTATTTATCAAAATTCATAATTCTACTATAAAGAAAAGAGGTCATTGATGATATATAGTATATAAGGTTTCATCAACCCATTTCGTTGATATCACTCATTGTCAAATGTAGTTAAACCATGTAGGTTTTACTTGTATAGATTAGCTCTGCGATCCTATGTATAATGTATAATTAAGGTTTCATCAGACATGGAATGTATAGTAATTATTAATTTGAAATTTATTATTTGTATGATTTTTGTTTAATTTCATTTATATGAATTTTTGTAATTTTATTGATCAAATATATATAATAGTTTCCTTGAAATTTAAGGGATTCTTGTACTATCAAAAACATTTACCATTCACGAGGAAATATTTGGTTATTAGCTTCCTTTTCTAATGTTGGAATTTTATTTTATGAGGGATAATTTGGTTGCTATTGCCTAGTAATTCATTGTTAATAGAATATCTACTAACGACGAGTTCTTTAGTTATCGTTAGTGGTTAACGACCGATTGATTTTTGTCGTCACTATCTAACGACGAACATTGTCATTAAAATCTTTAACGAGGGAGCCTATTATATCGAACAAACGACGAAAACTTTTCCGTTGTTAAAAGTATTAATGATGATATTGTGGCCTTTTAATGACAAATTATTTCGTCGTTAAAAACCCTTTTTCTAGTAGTGATGGCTGAGGAGTTCAGACAAAGGTTAGTCGCTGCCGAGGAGGAGTCGCTGAGAAGGCAAACTAGGTTGCAAGATGAAATTCAACGGCTCCAAGATGAGCTAAATGCCAAGGAGGTGGAGTCCTCCAGGTTCCAGGACGAGCTCAAGGAGGCTCAGGATTTGCTAAAGGCCTTGAAGGAGGAGGCTGCCCAGACTCAGACCGAGCTCGAGAAAGCTCAGAAGGTACTAGAAGTTCGGATCTTTACCCAAGCCGTATATGACGAGGGTTATGAGAATGGGTTCAATGTAGCTCGGCGTCTAGAGTTCCATGTCAATCCTAACATTGACTGGGATCAAGTGGAGGTCTGGGCTTCGGATGAGAAGGATGTTCACCTGGCCATTACCAGTCAAGCTGACATTGACTTTCTGACTCGCCAGGCTGAAGCTAAGGCTCGAGAAAGAGAAGAAGCTGAGAAGAAAGAGAAGGAAGCAGCTCAAAAGAAAGAGTTTGAGAAAGCTTTTACTCAGCCTGCCTCATCCTCTGCTGGTGCTGAAGCTTTATGTGGCCAAGATGCAACTGCTCCTCAGCCTGGTCCTGCGAATGCTGAAGCATAGGAACTCGGCAGTCGTCTACAGAGTCTTGCGAATTAACTTGCTCTTAATTTTAGAATATGTCGCATGTGTTTTTGCCTTTTGAACCTTTTTGCTTCAGCTTGCCTTGATGTACAAACTCTTTATTTTTGTTTTTGAGTAGTTGTACTTAGTTCGACAGCTGCTTTTATCCGTCTTGTGGACGGCTGTCGATTAGTATTTGGTTTCCTTGGAATTTTTTCAAACTTGATTTAGTGTAGCTCGGTGATTTGATGTACAAACTCTTTATTTTTGTTTTTGAGTAGTTGTACTTAGTTCGACAGCTGCTTTTATCCGTCTTGTGGACGGCTGTCGATTAGTATTTGGTTTCCTTGGAAATTTTTCAAACTTGATTTAGTGTAGCTCGGTGATTTGAGCATAATTTGCTGCTTTGAATGCATTGCCTTCTTTCCCAGCTGCTTTGCCTTTTTTACTTAGTCTTGTACTTTGCTCTCTTTGTTAATTTTGCAAAACTTTTCTGAGTGTTGAGCTTCAGCTTGGACCTATTTGGTCCCAACTTGTTAGAAAAGTAAGACTGGGCTGAGAGCTTCTTGTCCCCCCAAAAATCTGAAGTGTCAGTCTTCGGATTTCTAAGGTGTTTTCTTGGTTTCACTTGTACAGATGAAGATTTGCTTATTTCTGCCTTGTATTAAGCGAAACTTTTTGAAGTTTCTATGCCTTTTCCTTTCTCTTCTTTTTTTTTTCTCTTTTTGTTTCTTTCTTTGTTTTTTTTCTTTTTTTGAAGAATCTATGAGTTCATTGCTCAAAAGTCTTAGACTCCGAGAGCAGTATTCTCTCGATCCTTGAAATTTTTTCGAGGGAAAGACTATCCGAAGCACAATACCAGAGTATGGTCATGCTTCGGATATAATATCTCTGAAGCACAATGCCAGTGTTTGGCTATGCTTCAGATTTGTCCATGGTCTCTTTGTCCCAAGGGACCGATTTATCTGAAGTACCATGCCTTCATATGGCTATATTTCGGTTGTGAAATCATTGTTCCTTGTTGGGCGGGTTTGGCGGCAATCCGAAGTATGGTGCTGCTGTTGGGCTATACTTCGGACAGTGCTGAAGAGAAACCCTTTTCAAAACATAGAAGACAGGAAATAGGAACTTTCCAAAATTGATAAGAACGGTGGCTCGGAGGCCTTTCATTAATTTTAAAAGTTGCACTTACATAGATTGTTCTTCCCTGAAGGGTTTACACATGAAATTTTTTCAATACATCAACATTCCAGTGGTTCTTCAGCTCAGTTCCATCCAACTAACTTAGTTAGTATGTTTCAGGCTGAAGTTCATCATAAATTTCATAGGGTCCCTCCTAAGTGGCTGAAACCTTCCTATGAATGCGGCTTTTTTTGCACTGCTGCAGCATTCCGAAGAACCAAGTCCCCAATTTTAAGTGGTCTTGCATTGACCTTTTGGTTGTAGAACTTTCTGATTCTTTGTTTGTATGCAACCACTATATCTCGGGCCGAATCTCTGACCTCATCCAGAAAATCGAGGGATTCTTTCTTAGGTTGTTCATTTTCTTCGATTAGTTGAGAAGTGGTGCATCTGCAGACTTTTTGTGCCAATTTCCACTAGAAGAACGGCTTCAGATCCATACACTAGCTCAAATGGTGAATGTCCCGTATCCTCTTTTTCGGTCATCCGAAGTGACCATAGGTATTCAGGGAGTTCCTCTATTCACTTGGACTTTTGATTCTCAACCCTCTTCTTGAGTGTGTTGCGAATCTGCTTGTTTGCTGCTTCGGCTTGACCGTTACTTTGCGGATGGCAAACCGCAGAATAGGCCAACTTGATGTCGAATTGGTCAGTGTACGGCCTTAGCGGCAGATTGTCAAATTGCCTCCCATGATCGAAGACAAAGACCTTCCATATTCCGAAGCGAGTGTAATATTCTGCCAGATGAATTTTCTGACAGTTTGCTCTGTGATGTTCGAGGCAACCTCGGCCTCAATCCATTTGCTGAAATAGTCAGTGCCAACTATCAACCATCTTTTTTTGGTATGGAGCATCGAGAAATGGCCCCAAGATATCCAGACCCCATTAGGAAAACGGAAGAGGGTCAGGATCGGCTGGAAATCTCGGGCAGGCTGATGGATAACTGGTGCGAATTTTTGACATTTCTCGCATTTTCTGACCAACTCCATAGCCTCCAAGATCATGGTGGGCCAGTAGTACCCTGCCCTCAATGCCTTGTGGGCCAATATTCTCCCCCCGATGTGGTTCCCATAGATGCCGAGGTGAATCTCCCGGAGGATGTCGTCAGCATCTGTTGGTCCCACACATTTCAGTAGTGGGGCTGAGAAGGATTTTTTCAGTAGCTCTCCTCTGAAGATGGTGAACCTTGAGCTGATCTTTTTCAGCTTGGAGGCTAGGTTTCTGTCTTCGGGAATTTCTCCCCGAAGTTTGTAAGCTAGGATGGGGTCCATCCAACTCGGTTCAGGTGTTGACGCAGCAAATTTCAGGTGCTTCGTCAACACTTCTTTCTCGCCGCACCTCAACATAGACAAATCAGTTCAGCTCGATTAGAGTTAAACTTGCAAGTTTGGAGAGTGCGTCGGCTTGTGCGTTATGACCCCTTGAGATCAGCTCGACTTCAAAAGTTCTCAGCTTTGCAATTATCGTTTTGATTTTTGCAAGGTAAGCAATCATTGACCTTATACCCGCCTCGGATCTGATTTGCGACGAGCTGAGAGTCTGTCTTCAAACAGACATGTTCAGCTTCCAATGATATGCACAGTTCTAAGCCACCAATCGCTGCCTCATATTCTGCTTTGTTGTTCGAAGCTTGGAATGCAAACTTGAGTGCATACTCAAAGGACTTGCCTTCGGGCGAGGTAAGTACTACCCCGCCCCCAAACCATTTAGGGTGGAGGATTCATCCGTAAAAACGGTCCAAGTCTTCTTTTCTTCATCCAGCATTTCCTGGTAAGAGCACTCGGCCCAAAAGTCCGCCAGAGGTTGTGCCTTGATGGCTGTCCTCGGCTGGTAGCTGACGCTGAACTTAGTGAGATCGAAGGCCCCCTTTGCCAGCCTACCAGATTTTTCCACTTTTTCGAGGACTTTTTCCAATGGCTGATTAGTTAAGACCACTATTTAATGACAATCAAAATAGGGCCTCAGCTTCCGAGCGACTACCACTACTGTAGGGTTTCATAGTGACCCGACACTACGCGGAAGGAAACCCACCAAGACCCGCCCCTTAATTAAAGCAATTAAACAAGCATAATAAACTTAATCAAACAAGATTAAGAAAAAGAATTATACCTTTGACGCGTGCTTCGCTCCTAAAGAGCTCTTACTTCAAAATCCCGAAAAAGACGAGATCTTCGACGGATAGTACCCTCGACCCGACCCGAGCGTCCCAAGTCTTGAAGGTTAGTCAAGACCCGAAAAAAATAACTATGAGTTTTACGAATCAAAGGTTTACTCTTTTCAAGAGTTGCCTTTTTAATTCCACTCAAGGTTCTCTCAAATCCCAATACCAAGCTTGGTATTTATAGGGAAATGATCCCTTGATTTCCAATCTCCCATCAATGTGGGAGAGTTGGTAAAATGATAATTATTTAATTCCAAAATTAAATAATTAATCAACTCAATCACAAATCGACACTTGGCATAATTATAGAGAAAGCCAAGTGAGGACCAAGGCTTGGGGGGAACATTGCCTTGATCCCCAAGGCTATGAATTGGTCCCCACACACCATGCCCAAAACCGGGTCAAGGTGTGCCAGCTGGGGCTGCCAGCTAACGTGGCCTTGCTGCCCAGCACCCAGCCAGCCATCCAGTGCATGCTGCTGCTGGGCTGTGCTGGTGCTATTTGCTGGCGCTGGGCGCTGCTAGCACCTAGTGCTGGCACTGACCCCCAGTAGCCCCACGCACACTCGCACACTCTTCGCGCCTCATCGCTAGCACAGCCAACATGCGTGCTGCTAGCGAGCCACGCATGCTGGCCGCATTGTCCCTCGCACCATGCGCACACACGCCTC